GCCGTCGGCCGACCTTTCTTTTCTAAGATTAAAATTAATTGAAAATAATATTAAAAAATTTAAAATAATTTTTTAAAAAAAAAATAAATAATTTTTTATTTTTTTATTTAATATTAAAAAGTTTAAAAATTTTAAAAATGAATGATAATAAAACAAATAATAATATTGTAAATATTAAAAAATAAAAATTAATATTAAGAATTTAAAATTCGAAAATGTTTTTTTTGTTTGTTTAAAATAAAATAAATAAGTGTAATATTTTTGTTTGTTTAATGTTAATAATTAATTTGTTTACAAAATTAAAAAATGTTAATAATTAATTGAATATATTAAAAAGTTTAAATTTTAAATGGTAATAATTTAATTATAAAAATATTATAATATTATAAATAAATAATAAAAAGTTTGAAAAATAAAAAAATTGTTTAAAATATATAAATAAAATTGATTTAATATATAAATATAGTAATTATTAGAAATTGTATAATATTATTAATATTGTTTAAAATTGTTTATCATAATTATTAAAATAAATAAATAAATGTTAAAAATACTTGTTTATTAATTATTTAATTTGTTGATTTAGAGTGATGGATCTGAGCGACTTGAGGAGTTTGCTCAGTTTGAGGGTTCTGAACCCCGACACACGCAGAGTCGGTTTGTAGATGCCGACGCTCGTCGGGTAAGGGAGGCGAGGATCCGTGAGGCTCAGTTATCTCAGGCTGAGATGGCTAGGAGATTGGCACATATCATTCCTTCGGTACCGAGTGGTCAGCAGTGCGGCGGGCTGCCCAGCTCATCGATGGCTGGCAGTTTGGGGAGTATGCCGAGGATACGTATTTGTCGGTCGTTGGCTTACACACCGATCGTCGAGAGTCCGGTCCACGATTATGACCAGGACGATGACTAGGACGATGATGAGGGCGAGGAGCCTGACTCTGGAGATAAGCAGACCACGTCACTTCCTCCTCCCCCTGTACGACCTGTACGACATGTTCCTCCATGACAGGATGTGGGCCGTTTTGCGGGCACTGGATCCTCCTTTGGTAAATACTCTACGTACTTTAATTTTGTTATTGTTAGTTACATATAGTTTTATTTAGTAATATTATTTAGTTATGTACTGTATGAAAGTGTTTGAGAAAAATACTAAGCAAAAACAAAACAAAACAGCATCAATTTTGGGACATGTAAGAACCCAAAAACTGAACTGTAAAAACAGAAAATAAAAGTAAAATTGAAGCTCGAATATTGCTAGGGTAAGTGAATAATAGCAGCAGCCTCATTCGATCTTCAAGATAGGGTATTTATACATCCTCTTAGGCGTGGAGTTTTCTCCAAGTAAGATGACTCCTTCTTGAGATTTCCTTCCTTATTTGTAGCATAAGTTTGGTAAGTGTGGATCTCCTTTTCTCTCTCCAAGATCTCCTACTTAAGCATGACTCTCTTCCATTGTTCTCATTAAGCCCGATTTCCTACAATGGAAATATCATAATAAGATCAATGCAATCTTATATATGAGTATATAAAATAATCTAAGCAAGGAAATAAAATAATACAAAGATCTCCCCTTTTGTGTGGTTTCAGGTGCTTGTTTGAACCAGTGAACTAATGCCAAACAAAAATATCTTTCAATCTCCCCCTTTGGCATCTAGTTCGAAAACCTGAAAAGTGAGAACAACAAGCACCAAACAAAGACAAGGAAAATCATCAAGGGGTTAGCTCAATCCCAACATGATGACTGTGAGCAAACACAGTTCTCCCCCTTAGTTCCTGCAATCAGCTATATCAAAAACATAACCAGATTAATCAAACAAACCACCATTCATTCTTAATAAGCAACCAACCAACAAGAGTTAATCAAAACAATCACAAACAGTAGCAAATAGCAGATACCATCACATCACAAAAGCAAATGAAATATGAAGTT